AAAAATCAAAGCAATTCATTGTTTGATTATGAAGAAAACAAAGAAACATAGAAGTAGTGTTTTAGAATGGTTATCACGAAGGAGATATAAAAGAAAAGTTTGTGGATCTTTTAGGCTCTGATACCATATTAAATTTGGGTTACTCATGGGTTTCCCCCCTCACGCTCAGGCATGCACATCTGTAGATCCACGGGATGGGCCAAAGATCGGGTGGTTCTGATACCATAAAATAGTTTATAGAAGCACATAACGAGGTATTTATACAAGAATGTAAAACCCAAAGTATAGGAAATAGGATAAAGCTAACCAGAGATAAACTAGGAAATATATATATACAACATCATTATCCTAATATAATTTGGTAGTCTTGATATGGTCGATCTCATAGATCTCCCAATAAATATCTTGAATTCTCATCCCAAGGAGTTTGTTCCTGAACCTTGCACTTGGTAATGCCTTCTTCTTCTAAAATGACTCGCATGTTTTTATTTTTCATGTTTCTCTACAATATAGCTGTGTGGTATTCTATTTTTGAAACTTTCTTCTGAATCTGATATTCTATTTTTGGTATTTTTGAATAAAGGAGCTTCAACAAACTAGTGTTAGTTTTAGTGTTATCTCTTTAGTTTGTCGGATTTTTTCATTATAGAAATGTTGTTATGATTTCTCCCTCATATGGGTTACAAAGTTTTTGATAGATCTTTGTGACTGAAGTATAACACTAGCCATTATTGGAAGCAAATCAATTGGAACCTTATTTCAGTTTTTCATACTTGGTTTAGTAGGAACCTTATTTTTGTAATCAGTACTTTGCTTTTGTTAACTAATCACAAGAAGACTGATCATAGTCTCTTCAATATTGGACATTGGTATGGATGGTCATAGTTTTGTGTTGATATTTGAGGAGTCTAACTATAAGCTTGTAATATCATGAATTTGTGTAGCCGTGTGTGCGGGAATACGCATGGAGTAATCAGGAAGTACGGTCTTAACTGTTGTAGACGTTGCTTTCGTGACCACGCCGAGGAAATGGGATTCGTTAAGGTAATATGTTTTGTTTATGATTGATCAATCATTGTGTCTTCATGTGATTTTGCTTATATTTTCTCATTCTTTTGGAATGATCATTGATTCATCTGGTTTTGTTCACCACTTATCTGCAGAACAATTGAAGATCGATGTTGGTTAGGCAGAGGCAATCATCATTTTTGTTGGGTTTTGTTAAAGTTTTGAGCTTTTATATTGTAATGGATTTTTCCTAAATGTTGAACTATTTTCGATGTTGAATCTTTTTAAGTTGTTTATAATCCAATCTTGGTTCTATAGTTTTATTATATATTATATATATCTAACTTTTTCTTTTACCTTTTGAGGTGTGTGTCTCACTGCCTCTATTGATCGGGCTGGCTTTTATAAACCAGAAAACTCTTCTCTGTTAAAACAAAGACAGTAAGAAGCTTTTGACTATAGCGACCAAGAATTTTACAATAATCCGTGAGAATCACTAGTTCGTGAAATACATTCATGGTATTTGTCGATCGCAAATATGGTTCAATAGCTTCGCAATCCAAACATGTATTCTCATCCTTTTTTTTTCCATCTAGTAATATATTATAATCCGAGGAAGAAAATATACAAGTCAGTTTAGCAATTTTCACAACCGGTGCCTAAAACCCAACAAGAGAGAACCCAAACTATCACTAGAGGCACTTCGCCAATATATCCCGAAAACTTACTCGAAATACGTTATATTTTCTAAACAAGTGATACAATAACGTGAAACCTTTTCTTCTAAAGACTAAAAAAACTGATGAAACGCAGCGAAAAGAACTAAAACCAAAGCTGTATTTAAATCAAACGAAGCGGAGGATTCGTTTGTGTCTATTTATTTTAAGCTAAACGAAGCTAAAATTTTCAATTCCTTAATAAAACAAAGTTTTCACGAAAACAAAAAGAAATACTCGCACGTGTGAGTTTGACCAAAGTCCAAACACGTACGAACAAGAACCCCATAG